TGGGGCCCCCGGATGCCCTCCGCCCTGCCAAGTACCTGTCGCTGGCGCTCGACGAGCCGCCCTGCGGCCAGTTCGCGTTCCCGGGCGGCGGCGCGGGCAGCGGCGCGGGCGGCCCGGGCCTCTGCACCTGCGCTGTCTGCAAGTTCCCACACCTGGTCCCCACCGGTCTGAGCCTGGCAGCCGTGCAGGCGCAGTTCTCCAAGTGAGGGAGGCCCGGCTCCAGCCCAACCTCAAGCAGCCCAGCTTCTCCGCGCCCGCGTCCCGGGAGAGCAGGGCTGAAAAAAGGAGGGCGTTTTGTACACTCTAACCCACAGAAAGGGACAGTCAACACCCCGTCCTCATGCCCGGAAAATTACAGGGACTGGAGACTGTGTTCGATGCAGCTTGTCCGGTTCTGAGTCAATTCCGGCTGCTTTTTGAACAGGCAGTGCGCACACCCACCAATGCGCTCGGCGGTCCTCTGGGAATGGGGTTTAGGTCGCAGGGAGAGTGAGGGGGTCGGTGGCTCGCCATCCAGGGTGCAGGAAGCCCACCCGCATCTCTGGGGTCACAAGCAGCAGACATCTTTGTTTCGACTGCGTATACCTTATTAAAGAAGGCAGCCCTACTTCGAGATGCCGGAGAAACACCAGTTAGTGATGCTGACCATCCTGACCATCGGGAGCGCCCAGACGGACACTCAGTGGCCTGGCCATTGGCCGCGCTGACGAGGCCAGGGCCGCTGGGAGTAGTGGGTTGCAAAGTCGGTTCCTTTTTGTACCCTGGCTGCTAAGAGTGCTGTTTTTGAGACTGGCTTTAGCCAGGTGTTTTGTTGGTGGTCGCGCTTACATCCTGGGATCGTAGTTTAGAACTGGAGATTTTGCCCCTCTCCTCTCCCAAGGTAGCGTAACCAACGTTTGAGCTTGTTTTAAAAACAAAACCCAAATGGCTTTCACGCAAATGGATTTTCCAGTTTACTAAGATCGGTAACATGGCATTTCCTTGTCAGAAAGCAGATCGCTGATTAACGTTCTGTCTCCTTGGAAGACTCGGAGCAGGACTCGCTGCGGACTCTGAGCCCGCAGACGGAGGCCGCTCCTGCGGTGGCGGCCGCTGGACCCCGCGCACTGCTGCGTCTGCGCTCCTGCTCCGTCTTCAGACAACATGCCTGGCGTTATCCTCCTTCTCACCGCTTTGCTCAATGAAAAACCACGTACAAATCACCGGTTTTGATTTATTTCAGGCGTTAACAATTTTTTTTTTTTTTACATAAGATGATGTGATAATTCAACAGCTTCCTTTGATTTGTGTGCAAGGGATATTTTGTTGTTGCTGTTAGTAGCCAACTTTAACTGGAGTTTAATTTTACTTTAACTCTGTCTCCTTGCTCTGTACAGAAATCAGCAAAATAAATAATTTTGTAAAGGGCTCTTTCTTGAGTTTTCCATCTGGCTTATTTTATTATTCTTTTTTAAACGTCCGTGTTACCCTGCTAGATTTAGAATTTCGAGCTGAGGTTTAGCAGTTAGCTGACTGAGGTTCAAATTATTATTATTATTATTATTTTTAAAACGTTCTCTCTCCATTTGTAAACGAATTCTGGGAACGATTGTAGTTCAAGTTCAGTATAGCCTGTAGATGGAAGTATAGCCTGTAGATGGTGAGAAGGTGAGGCGTTTAGGGGAGAGAAGGGGCAGACTCCAGCAATTCCAAGACTTCTCAGCCGGTCTTGGGAGGAACATTTCTCTCCACCACAACTTTCTTCTCTGGGAAGTGGATTAAGTAACTCACATCTTAATATTATTTTCTATTTTAATATCTTTCCCAGAAGCCCACTTTTTAAAAAATCTTAATTTTTAAAAAATATAATTGCTTAATGCTCAAGCAATATTACACAGATAATGAGCTCTCTGCCTGTAGTTTCACAAAGGTGGAGCTGCCACTTCAGACTCATGGGTGTCCCCATTTGGCGTTTTAATAGTAGAAAACTGCTCCTCTTTCTCCCAAGAAATGGCTGCTCGATAAAACCACAGACCCTTTGGGGAGCAGCCCCATACCTAACCTGCTATGCCAACATGTTTTGGGACATGACTTAATTCTATGAAGAGGTGAATAAATCTTTCCTGTCCCTTTCCTGTTTCCTTCCTTCTTAAGATCAATGATCCTAAGAAGAATTTGGAAAGTTGATTCCCACATAGGCAATATTTAACAGTCCACACTCAGGAAACATTTCACAGCCCCTCGCTAAATCCAACCACTGTTTCAAAATCTTTGTTAGGTGGTGGTACTAGGACAAGTACTACTCAGTGACCGTATGAACATTAGACCTGCACCCTGCCCTGTCCTGTGCCATCCTCAGCATCCAGGACACACTTGAGCCCATTACCATAGTCACTGTGTCAATCCACCTTGTTGGTAGTCTTCTCTCTTTCACCGACCCTCCATCTGTCCAAGTAAAATGTCGCTTTCCAAGGAATAGCCTCTCCTAGCAACATGTCCAGAGTATGAGAGATGGAACTTTAGCATCTTCACCTCGAAGGAGCACTCTGGAAAACTTACGAAAATTAAAGAAAACTCATGAGTTTACTTACTATTACCCATGTTGCTTTATCTGAGGCAGTTAGGAAAATGAGCATTCACTTTGGAAGCACATGAAGAGGGTGGGAAAGAGTCTAGTAAGATAGAATTGACTCCCTGATTTGATTTCTATTAATCCATTATTGTCCTAAAGATTGGTGGATTGATCCCACCCAGTAGTACTGTGAAAGAAAGCCCTGGCATTCTGTTCCCCAAAAAAGGATGGCTGGTTGCCATTAAACTGATTCTAATTCATGGTGACCCTATGTAAAGATGACAGCCAAGAAAGCTCAGTGAGCTGTTTCTATCTATAGCACATGGAGTGGCCATGAGTGGGGAAGGGCTCAACAGCAGTGTGTTTAGCATCACTGCTAAGTGCCTGCCTTCTCTAAGGGGAGGCAGAAGGGGGCAGAGGGGAAGACACCTGAGTTCCAACCTCTTCCAGGGAGGAGGTCCTCATCCTTCCTGGACTACTGATGCACAAGCCCATCGGCTTCTCTAACAGGAAGATTTTTATTGTGTCATGTTTATTCAATGCTCTTACATTCCTCCCTTAAATCTTGACAAAGGACAGAAAGGAAAGAGAAAAACTTAGCAACCAAATCAAGTCCTTCCCACCTCCTATTTTCCCTTCAAATTACAAGCAATTAAAAAGAAAATTCCTTCAACACTCTCAACTCTACTGTGTAGATGCTACGACCATCATTCCAAAAACCACTCCAAAAAGAGCAGAAAATCACAGGGCAGGAAAGGCACAGGAGGTAGGAGGTGCTGTCCTCACTCCTTTTCTACTTGTAAACTAAGATGAACACCCATGATAATGAGAAAGAAGGCATGTGTATAAAAAAAAAAGCCCCAAACAAACTGAAAAATTATAATCACACCTCACTCTGGCTTCCAGAACCTCTAAAGTTCATGACTGGATTTAACAAGGATGAGCAGGACGGGTTGAGACATCTTCAAAACATTTCTGAAGTTATCTACTTCCACATATCATGTTCCTGGTCATTGTGACAAACTAAGACAAACAGGTAAGTTCGGTATATGAAACTAACCTCCTAAAAAGAGCATCAGCAGGCATTCAAGAATCCTGTAACAAAAAGGTGATAAACCATAATTATATATGATGCAAGTAGTGTAAACTGAGCCTCTCAATAACTGTCGAGGTCAGAACAGTGCATCCGGTAGACACAAGGTTTGGTTTACACTTGCATGTTGTGAAGTGTGGAGTGTGTAATACTTGTGATTCTTTTCAGACGTCTGCAGTGTCAGGCCAAGCGTGCAAAGAAGCTCCTCACTTATATTGAGCTAAAACAAACTCTTTGTAGCAGGAACAACTTGAAGCTGATATTTTTTTAAAAAATAAATTATTATATTTTTTATTTTATACTGGTTTATTTATAAAGTTCAAATAAATTGTTTTTCTCACTGGATCTTTCCCATTTCTTTCACCGCCCCATCAAATAGTGTGACCCTATGATTAACCCTCCCCTCCACTCCACTTGTCCTCACCCCTCTGATTCCACCTTTTCCTCCCTTGGATCCTCATACTCATTCCACAAATATTTATATAATATTTGTCTTTTGGGATAGAGTAAGTTCACTTAACCTAATGCTCTACAGTCCCTCCCAAGTTAGGTAGTAATTTACAAAAGCATTGCTCCTGCGTGCTGTGTAGTGTCTCATTATGTGAATGCACCATAATTTCTCAATCCCTTCAGTTGTGGTTGGACATTTGGGCTGTTTCCATGTTCTTACAACGGTGAATAATACTGCTATGAACATTGGTATACAGGTCTCTGTGCCTCAGTTTTCATTTTCTGAGGGTATATTCTAAGCAGTGGAATATCTGGGTCAGATGGAAATTTCTGTTTAGCTTTTTTAAGGAAGCATTAAACTGTCTTCCAGAGTGGTTGTACCATTTTACAATATCACCAACAACATATAAGAGTTCCTATCTCACCACATCCTCTCCAACATTTAGTACTTGCTGTCCTGTTAACATTTGCCACTGCTACTGGAGCAAGATCGTATGGCACTGATTTGCATCTCTCTGTTCACCAGTGATTTTGAGAATTTCTTCATCTGTCTGTTGGCCATCTGAATATCTTCCTCTGTGAAAATTTTCCATGTCTTTTTCCCATTTTGTAACTGTTTGATCGGTCTTTTTCTTGTGGAGGCCCTGTAGGACTCTGTAAACTTTTGATTTGAGACCCTTGTCTGAGATGGTATTGTCAAATGTTTGTTTTTTTCCCCCGTCAGTAGGTTTTCTTTTTTTCACTCTGTTGAAAAAATGTTTTGATGCACACAGGGGCAGTCACATTCACCAATTTTATCCTTTTCAGATTGTGCATTTCTGGCTGCATTTGGAAGTCTCTTCATACCATACACATTTGATCCCAGTTTGTCTCTGATGAACTTTATGGTTTGGGGCTTTACTCTCAAGTCTCTGATCTGCCTTGAATTCATTTGTGTGTATGGTGTGAGATGCGGATCCTGTTTCAGCTTTCTGCAGTCAGCTGTCCAGTTTTTCCAGCACCATTTATTGAAGAGGTTGTCATTTCCCCATTTGACAGATTTTATTTCCTTGTCAAATATCAGTTGACCATAGATAGCTTTTCTGGGTTCTCAATTCTGTTTCATTGAAACC